GAAGGAAGAAGGAAGAAGAAGAAGAAGAAGAAGAAGAAAGAAGAAGAAGAAAGAAAAGAAGAAAAGAGAAGAAGAAGAAAGAAGAAGAAGAAGAAGAATAGAAAGAAGAAGAAGAAGAAGAAAGAAGAAGAAGGAAGAAGAAGAAGAAAGAAGAAGAAGAAGAAGAAGAAGAAGGAAAAAGAAGAAGAAGAAGAAAGAAGAAGAAGAAGAAGAAGAAGAAGAAGAAGAAGAAGAAGAAGAAGAAGAAGAAGAAGAAGAAGAAGAAGAAGAAGAAGAAGAAGAAGAAGAAGAAGAAGAAGAAGAAGAAGAAGAAGAAGAAGAAAAAGAAGAAGAAGAAGAAGAAGAAGAAGTAGAAGAAGAAGGAGAAGATGTAAATCCTTTACCAGTAGCCTGCTACGATTTGCTTGTTAGGAAGCAGGGCTTAGTCATATTTTGCCCTAAAATAGGGTCCTAAAACCCACATAAGAAAATTATGTTGACGATGATAATGATGATGATGATGACGATGATGATGATGATGTTGACGATGATATGATAATTATGATGGTTTTAACAATGGTGAAACTGATGCTTCAGTTTAGCTAACACTGTAGGCTATCGTCGATATCAAAATGACTCGCCGCGGAAGATCGTGCGTCTTCAAATGTTGGGATAAATGCGATGATTACAGATTAGTGTTGCCATCAAATGTTTCTGATACCTTGAACGTGAAATAAACATACTGGTGTTTTCTTTCCATGTTGAAATCCAGATCGATAAAATTGCACCAGATCCTGTGCCGCAAGTTCAAGTCCCCGATCCTCTACCAGCCCCTGACCCAGCCCCAGCCCCTGACCCAGCCCCAGCGCCTGACCCAGTGAAGCCAGTTGAACCCGACCCAGTCCAGGTGCCAGATCTTCCTCAGATAGATGTCTCTAGTGGTACACAAGTTGACCAACTTCCAGCTGCTCCGGATAACTCCAACAAGGAAGACGGCGATGGACACGGGAACAAGGGTCGTGTGGACACGCCGTCTGTTGATATTCCGGCGCCACAAGAGCAACAACAGCCTCAGCAGCAGCAGGAGCAGCAGCAGCAGCAACAACAACAACAGGAAGAGCCGCAGCAGCAGCAACAGCAGCAAGAAGCTCCAGTGACACCAGAACCTGCAATAGCACCAGAAACTCCGGAACCAATACCTCCTGGGGAACTGGCGGGAGACACAGCGTCCAACCTCGCCGATCAAATCAGTGATGATGATAGTTCAGAAGAAGAAACAATTTTCCCTGACAATCTAGTGGATCCTTTGGTGGTACCTTCAGAAGGGGAGGGAACTGCTGGTTCTAAACTAACTAAAGGAGCGGCAAGCATTGTCCCTCCTCCAGTGCCTAACTTTAACGACCCATTTGATCCATTTATTCATTCCAACCAGCCACCACCGCCTCCTCCTCCTCCTGACTTTGGAAGCTCTATCAATGTAGGACTTTTAGGAGGACCGCCTCCACCTCCACCTCCATCAAACGATTTTCTAGCTCCTCCACCGCCACCTCCACCCTCATCAAATGATTTTCTTGTGCCGCCCCCACCACCTTCCTCAAATGATTTTATGGCTCCCCCGCCACCACCACCTCCATCAAACGATTTTCTAGTTCCACTACCACAACCACCACCTCCGCATATGCTCGGAAGCGATCTTATACCACCTCCACCACCACCTCACATAGTAGAAGCTGGGCTTAACATGCCTCCACCTCCTCCTCCAGCAGGTCTGACTGAAGCCTACGTACCCCCAGAAAAGAAACCCCCACCTCCAAACGAAAACCTGACCCCGGAAGACAAACAAGCTGCGGCACTCTCCGCGCAAGCTGAGGCTCAATCCCTGGCCATCGACAAGCATAGCGACCTCCTGGACATACGCCACGACCAGCTGGTTAATGCTAAAGTGGAGATCATTACTCCACCACCACCAACACCACCTCCACCACCGCCAACTCCCATGCCGATTCCTATAGCGGATCTGAAATCAGCAGCATCCGACAAGGCTGTAGATTTGATGGACATGCAGAGGGACCTTGCCGCTGCTGCCAGAGAGAAGGAAATTGCAGCGAAAGAGGCGGCCTTGGCAGCAAAAGAATCGGTTATTTCAGTGCTCAGACCGTAACTTGTGGACTCTGAAACAGTGGACATTCATATTACTGTCTTCCTTTCCCCCCCCCCCCCCAAGATAATATCATTTTTGACTTATCTATACTCATCATTGTCGGCGACTGTGGCATAGGCTTTGGAATGCGCTTCGCAATGCCGAGGTGCCGGGTTCGATCCCAGCTGCGGACGATTTGTCTTCCTTTGGTTTCGACAGTGGTACTGACAGCTGACCGTTCAGTAGGCAATAGAAAACTACTGAAGGTAAAATTTGCCTAGAAAAACTACAACAGCCAAAATGACTGGGGTTGGTTCTGCAACGTCCTGTAAAAGAATACGCAACTAACTGCTATACTCATAAATAGGGGGATTTTCCCCTATAAAAATGGCTGCCGGTACTCCCCACACAATGACTATTATAGTAGTAATGAAAAATGTATGCTTAAAAATAAAGTGCCAGTACTGCGTACCGGGAAAAGAAAACCCTGTTCATCATCATCATACTTTGTCCTTATACGGCACCTAGGGCTCGCAGTCTGCACCTCCAATGTGTTATTTCCTGCGCAATCCTTTGGATATCGTGGATGGAATCCAGTCTAACGTTTTTCTCTAAGAGTTTTTTTTTTTTTTTTTGAATGTCCTGACTTCAGTCCATTTGTTTCTTATTTCAGTGACTGCTTAACGATTGACTTTACGTTTATACGCAGGGTGTACCCAGTGTTCAAATACCGATGTATAATGTCCATTACGTTGGCAGACAAGGTTTAAAATGTATTTTCACTCCTTTGTTTGCGCCAGCAGTGAGCTGCAGTTATGTTGTGGGACCGTTAGTGTTGGCACATTTGACAGCTGCATTGCTCCAGTTTTTTTTTTTTTTTTTTTTTTTTTTTTTTTTTTTTTTTTTTTTTTTTTTTTTTTAATTTGTTCTATTTTTGATCTGTTTTTTTTTTTGTTTTTTTTTAATCTGATTTATATTTTGCCTGTATATTTATCGATTTTACATTTATTTTGTATATTTATGTGTGTTATATTTAGTCTGTATATTTTATCCGTTTTACATTTTGTCTGTGTTGTGTTTTATTAGTTTTCCCATTCTTGTTTTTCACAAAATATAACCGTTGATATTAATATGTAAATAATAAATAAACAGAAAATGCTTGAGTTGTCTGAAAATTGTTTTGCAGTTGTGTGTGTGTGTGTTTTGTTTTTTTTTTAGTTTACAATCTACCCAGGGTATTTTCAGGAACCTCGCCGGTGCTTTTGTGTGCTGTGCTGAGCTTTTGGTTTCTCGCCTCTCAGGCAAATATAATCCAACTTCAAATGAAACACCCTTAATTAGTAAACTTTTACATCATGCTAGTCCGGGGAGGTGTGATGAGGCAGTGGGTCGATTCTCTTTTTACCCAAAATGGGGTGCTGGGACCCACATTACATTCAAAGCGGCAATATACACAGGGCTGGTGACTACTAGGATAGCCAGGTGTCTTTAACATGTTCTGACCAAAAGTTATACTAAAGAGAACGCATTATGCTATGGAAGGGAAGTCAATAGGCAGAGTCGTTCACACATCAGACGCTGTTTGGAACTGACAGAGTCAAAAAGTAAAGGTTGCTAATGATATATTTAAAACTAAGCAGTAACTGTCTATGATTTGGAAAAAAAATGTTTGTGTAACCACCGACTTTTCCAGAATAGAGTCGGTCGTGTTCAAGCTTTCAATAACGGTTGCACTGAAAACTAATTGTCTAACTCAGTGATTTTTAACATGGGTGGTGCGAAGAAGATTCAGGAGGGACGTCTTGCAGCTTTGACACTGTATGATCCCCGAATGTGGGTTCTATGGCCCCATTGTGGGGAAAAACAAGAATTGACACACAGCCTCAGATACAAGCATGTCGTAGAAGTCGACTAATTGGGCAGCTTCCTTCAAAGTCGGAGTGTATCTGCCTGGGCGTCAAGGAACAACCAACTACACACAAATAAGCCAGTAAAAGGGATGTACACGCAAAACTCAGGCGCTGGCACAAAGCTAAAGTCTAAATGGACGAACAACCAGGACTTTAAGCCAGAACTCACAGCCAGTGAACAAAGAAGAAGCAGATGTCAAGTGCATTTGTACCTGCAATAACCTGTTATATTAATTTTTTTTTTAACCTATGAAGTAATTTAAAATATAGCTTTTTGGGAGGAGGGGGGTGGGGGGGGGGGGGTTGGTTCAGTATCTTGTAATGAACCCTCATGTGGCTAAATTAACTACTAATTGATACTGTTTACAAGTTTGGTGGGTATCTAGGAGAGATTGGTGGTTGAAACGGGTACTGTGTATCAGCGCCATGCTAAAAAATTGAATCAGTTTCATATAAACTGTCTCACAAAGCTGCTCAAAATCAAATGACAAGATAAGATCCCAAATACTTTGTTTGGTTCTTGATAGGGCAAACCTGCCTAGCATCCACACGAAACTGAAGAACTGTCAGTTTCGTTAGGCTGGTCACCTAACCCGCATGCCAGACTTTCGCCACCCGAAGAGAGTATTTTATGGCGAGCTCCAGCAAGGGAAGAGGTCCCGTGGAGGACAGAAAAAGTGCTATAAGGACACTCTTAAGACTGCTCTCAATTCTTCTGGACGCAGCGCAACAACGTAGGGGACGGGCCTCGGTGAGCTGGTTCGGGTGTCTAGCGGAAAAGGGTTTCTCATCTCTTTGAAAGTCCATCGTGTACGAATTGTCTGCCAGTGTTCCTCTGCCAACTGCTAATAAAAGTCCAACATGTGTACGTAAACCAAAATAAGCTTGTCGCTCGGTCGTCCAGGCATGCTGACTGTTTTAATTACGCTGTCGCGGCGGCTTCTTATCTCACGGTACCTCCTTCGAAACCACCAAGTCGTCTTGTCTCTGGCCGAAAGTATAACACCATCTGGTAATTCCGTGCAGCGGGGAACCAGCCCTGAGCGTCATGAACTCAGGAGGGCCCACCTCCGAATACGTCTAGGAATAGTGGGCCGAAACGTGTGTCGACGAGGATAATTTCTACTGATGACTGGTAGATTCCCGCTGTACTTGCTCCCTGTGAGTTTATTCCTATTCTGGCATCAACACAGCGACGTGGGAGGCTGCTGCACAAAACCGTTCTGGATGGCGTACATCCCTCAGACATGATGCATCGGCCTGTCAGGCAGCGGAGGTTGCACAAAACCATTCTGGATGGCGTACATCCCTCAGACATGGTACATCGGCCTGTCAGGCAGCGGTGGTTGCACAAAACCGTTCTGGATGGCGTACATCCCTCAGACATGGTGCATCAGCCTGCCAGGCAGCGGAGGTTGCACAGGCAGAGAAACGGGAGGCAGACTAGAAAGAATCGTACTGCTAATCCCACACTAACTGCGGCTTCCACCTGTTGTCTGCACTGCTCAAGAATTTTGCAGGTTCATATTGGACTAATCAGCCAGCTTCATACTCATAATTATTGATCATCACTACTTTGGGTGAAGAGTAAAAAGGTAACAGTAAAGGTAAAGTCGGGAGATGTGAACCAGCGTCATTGCACACGGTTATAAACCATAAGTGCTCTGCCACCAGTACGGACAACAGATAAGAAACTGTCTGCCTGTTTCGCCGTCCTCACGTAAATCCGTAGCTACAGCGACGTTCCTCCATTTACCCCAGATTTCAACTCTGGTACCAATTACCTAGTGGCTGGGGAAACCCCGGACCCGCTCGATTTCGAACACCAACCGTAGCTGCAGCCAGTCGCAGATGGATTTGAAAGCAAGCCTCCTATCGACTGCGCTAACGCTCGTGATGGACAACAACACAGCGGTTGACCTTGGCCAATTCAAATTCATGATGACAAAGAAGAAACCTGACCAGCCGAGATCAAATCTTAGCCAATCGCTACGTAACGAGAGCAAAATACTGTCCTTATTATCTGTATTTAAGACTTTTTTGTGCAATGTGGAAATGGGATTATGAGGCTGGAGATTGTACAAAAATGTGTATATAAAAACATGGTCCCCAGAAGAAACTCTTAGTCCCTTACTGACAATCATACTTAGGTCTCCCGCCTGACAGCGCAGGGATTACACACCCGGTTGGCCGCCTCTCCCAGATTCGTATGTCCTGCACCGAATCGTACCCTGGTAACATCTAGTGTGCCTTCACCTATCTCGACAGATGCATTACTACAGAGCAACAGAGTTTACAGTTCGGTGGATGGGGGGAGGGGGGGGGGGTGCCATATAGTAGGGAAGAGGGGTACAATCTGGCGGGTGTTAGTTTGACAACCACCGGTCTTCTGCTTCTTCTTCTTCTCTTTCACCTTGTACCCCATCGATGTGTCGGGCGAGATGTAACACTCGTTGGTTAGCTCTGTCAAGAGCACTATTAGTATTAGGACTGATGTTCATTTTTGTAAGACTGTTCCTAATTCTAATACTCCATATTTTTCGAAGTCTTTCCCTCGCTCTTTACCCGTTGTAACGTTTTAGTGTGGCTCGCTGTGGCAGATAGTAGCAGGGCATTCTTGTTAGGTGTCCAAACCACTTTATTTGTTGTTCTTTGATTACCTGTCATTCTGGCTTTATTCCTAGCATTCGTCTGATTTCTTGATTTCGTATTCTGTCTTTTCTTGAAACTCCTGCAGCTCTTCTAAGGCATTTCATATCTGTTGTCACAATTTTACGTTCATTGGAGGATGTAAGTTTCCATGTTTGGCACTGATAGAATAGACCACTGGTCTAATGAGCAAATAGAAAAGTGAAATAGCACAAAAAAGAGATTTAACTCCAGTCCTAGGACTGGCTGGCTTCATAACAGAATATATTGAAGTCCAGTCTAGTGTTGATTTTGTCATTAATATTTTAATTGTTACTGTCAAAATAACAATTTAGAAAGAGTTAAGCAAACATACACATGAGAATACCTCTAGTTACATTACATTTGTTACATTTCATTTTCTAATGATTCTATAGCTTTAGCAATAGTAACATTACATTTTATGGCAATCCTATTTACTAA